GGATAAATGCAGAGCACTAATTCCGAGTATGGGTCACCATACTTGGCCACATGTCACGTCACTTTAATACCTGCATGTTATTGGTCAAGCTACTTTGGATGTTTTAGACAATATAAAAATCCTGGCCAGGACGTGTCCCATATAAATGGCACATATGGCCACCCTACTAATTCCTTTAATGCCTTCTGGAGCTGCTGCAAGACACTATTTTCTGAAAGCATTGGACTATTACAGCATAGTGCTACATGTCTAATAAAATCCTCTGTCATGGCAGGTCTTCTGAATAACTTTACATGATGGAATGCATGTAGAATTGTGCCAGAATGTTAATCTAAAACAGCTAATTTTCATTCGGCTCCTAAAACATAATTGTATCTGATAATTGTGCTCTAGTCAGTAAAGCAGTGCTTTTCTTTTCCTCGTGTGCTTTCAGAACATGGATTCGCTCTCTCTGAAGTTACCGAAGGAAAGGCTGAAGGTGCTTCCGAGTCTCTTGGTGACACCGCCGCTCCTCCAGCTCCAGTTCTTCAGAGACGAGGATCCGTGCTCGTATTCCCGGCCCGCTCTCCTCTGGCTGCCCGACTGACACTCCTTCTCACCGGCAGGTGAGAGATTCGTCCTCCTCTCAACCTAGGAAAACATGATTTACTGCTTTAAAGGCAGGGAAAGTGATTTTTCAAAAACGCTTTAGAAAACTGATTCGGGCCGACTAGAAAAACAAACTTGTAGCCAATCAGCAGTAAGGGGCGTGTCTACTCATGATGTGGAGGGAAGTGAATAATGTCTCACAAACACGCAGCTTTTGTCTTCTCCAGATGTTAACTGATGGACTGGAGTGGTGTGGATTATTGTGATGTTTTTATCAGCTGTTTGGACTCTCATTCTGACGGCACCCATTCACTGCAGAGCATCCATTGCTGAGACACTGATGCAATGCTACATTTCTCCAAATCTGATGAAGAGAAAAACTCATCTGCATCTCTGATGGCCTGAGGGTGAGCACATTTCCAGCAAATGTTCATTCTTGGGTGACTAATTCCTAGGGTGACCATACGGGCCATTTTTACGGGACACCTCTTTGCCATGATTTCTATATTGCCTAAAAGTCGAATGAACGAACAAACACGTGCGCGTATTTGCATCGCTTTGATCATTCTCTGTAGATCCCACTTTCTCACGCGCCACGATTGGTTGATTATGTACAATGCCTGCACATTATTGGTCAAGCTACTTTCCGATCATTACCTTCAGCAAGTATGAAAACAGGAAAATAAAGCCAAATATCGAAATCCTGGCCAGGACGTGTCCTGTAAAAATGGCACGTATGGTCACCCTAACTAATACTCTACTAATGCTCTAAAGATCTGATGAAGAGAAAAACTCATCTGCATCTCTGATGGCCTGAGGGTGAGCACATTTCCAGCAAATGTTCATACTTGGGTGACTAATTCCTAGGGTGACCATACGGGCCATTTTTACGGGACACCTCCTTGCCATGATTTCTATATTGCCTAAAAGTCGAACGAACGAAAAAACACGTGCGTGTATTTGCATCGCTTTGATCATTCTCTGTAGATCCCACTTTCTCACGTGCCACGATTGGTTGATTATGTACAATGCCTGCATGTTATTGGTCAAGCTACTTTGGATGTTTTAGACAATATAAAAATCCTGGCCAGGACGTGTCCCATATAAATGGCACATATGGCCACCCTACTAATTCCTTTAATGCCTTCTGGAGCTGCTGCAAGACACTATTTTCTGAAAGCATTGGACTATTACAGCATAGTGCTACATGTCTAATAAAATCCTCTGTCATGGCAGGTCTTCTGAATAACTTTACATGATGAAATGCATGTAGAATTGTGCCAGAATGTTAATCTAAAACAGCTAATTTTCATTCGGCTCCTAAAACATAATTGTATCTGATAATTGTGCTCTAGTCAGTAAAGCAGTGCTTTTCTTTTCCTCGTGTGCTTTCAGAACATGGATTCGCTCTCTCTGAAGTTACCGAAGGAAAGGCTGAAGGTGCTTCCGAAGAACCTCAGAAACGCGTGACAAAAGTTCTACCACTAGACCACTACAGCACACATACAAATATATGCGAATTCATGTATTTATTTAGTACTGTGAATAATCTATTTTATTATTAATACGTTTATGATTAATTTATATTAATATAGTCGCTTGCAACGTGGGCAGGGCCCGCGTGTGCTGCGGGCCCCCCCGCGGCACGGGCCCCAGTGCGGCTGCACTGCCTGCACAGTCTGTAGTTACGCCACTGTGACGGATGCTAACACTGTCTTTTAAGTTGTGTAACACAAACACCTCTGCTAAAATCTCAGAAAAAGTAGTTTGGTTTTTCATGACCCTTTAAAAGCTTGAATTAGTTTTTATTTTATATTTCCATTTTAATTTGAATATTTGTTCAAGTTTTAGTAAATTTATTTTGTGTTATGTTAGTTTTTTTTTAAAATATGTACATGTTATATATGATTATTTTTTGCTTCAGTTTTAGTTATTTTGATATACCAAAGTGAGAAATGTTTACTTGGTAACTGGCTGAAATAATTTTTTTTTTTTTTAATTTTAAATATTTAATTTGATTCCAGTTAATGTTTATTTTATTTCCAGTAACACATTTTTTTGTGGTTTTAGTTTTAGATAATGATAATACACCTAAACCTGAGGTTAGTATGAGTAGTATAGTAGTGTGCAAACAGCAGAGCAAATGACTTATTAGCATAGATTTAACAGTAACTGTTTACAAACATGATTAGCATATTAAACACTCACATTGGATCTCTGGAGCCTCTGCGACCTCACAGAAATCATCTTCCTGATCAATCTCAGAGTATTTCTCCAGCGAGCAGGCGTGAGCGTGAGACAGAACTTCCTGCAGGATGTCCATCTTTCGAAGCATTTTACACACGCCGTGAAGACGCAGGGCTTCCTCGTGACGTATGATGGCTTTACGCAGATGAGCTTTACCTTCAAAATGAAATTAAATTAGTATATTTTCACCTGCACTGAAACTGTAAACCTGTGTTCAGAAAAAGCATCCCACGACACAAACCGAGTCTCCGCTTGTCCTCTGGATCATGAAGATTGAGTTTTTCCGGTCGTCTGGTGTGAACCTGTATGAGAGCTTTAATCTCTTCACCTTCATCCTCATCTTCATCAGACATAGCTGTTAGTTGTTAAAAAACATTATCAGTCAGTCTGCAATTTTAATGAAAATGATCATTATAAAAGATTGTTTCTTTAGAATGACTAGCACAATACAAACAGGAACATGTATTAAGAAAGTAGATCAGGTCAGTTTTGATGATAAAATAACAAAAAACAAATACTACTGGTCAAGAGATTGCAATAATTAATCAATTTTTTTGGAAGTCTCTTCTGCTCACCAAGGCTGCATTTATTTGATCAAAAATACAGTAAAATATTATTACAATTTAAATGAGCTGTTTCCTATGTGAATATCTGTTAACATGTCATTTATTTCTGTGATCAAAGCTGAATTTTCAGCATCATTACTCCAGTCTTCAGTGTCACATGATCTTCAGAAATCATTCTAATATCTATGTGAATATATGTTAAACTGTAATATATTTCTGTGATGCGCAGCTGTATTTTCAGCATCATTACTCCAGTCTTCAGTGTCACATGATCTTCAGAAATCATTCTAATATGCTGATTTGCTGCTCAAGAAACATTTCTGATTATCATCAATGTTGAAAACAGTTGTGCTGCACAATATTTTTATTGAAACTGTGATACATTTCAGTTAATGCTGTTCTTTGGAAAGTTCAAAAGAACAGCTTTTATTTGAAACAGAAATCATTTGTAACATTATAAATTTCTTTACTGACACTTTTGATCAATTTAATGCATCTTTGCTTAATAAATGTTTTTTTTTTTTTACTTACCCCAAACTTTTGAATGCTACTGGAACGTAGTTTTCAACATTGATAATTTTTTTACTGTATTTTTGATTAAATAAATGCAGATTTGGTGAGAAGGAGACTTCTTTCAAAAACATTAAAAAATCCTAATCATTTCAAACTTTTGCCCAGTGATGTATGCATGAAGTCATCAGTCAGTAAACACAGAGATGTTCAGTAGTTCACCTGAACAGTCACACAGCGCCACAGCGGTGTAGTAATGAGCCAGCGCTCTGAAATGATGCGTTTTGACCTGAACCATAGAGATCCAGGAGAAGGGAACGTAGTCCTTCAGTAACGGCACTGACATCGCCTGAAGAACCAGAGAATACACGTCTGATACCTACAAACACACACACACACACACACACACACACACAGTTATTAACAAATAGAACCCCATAACATGTATTCATGGGGTGTGTGTGTGTGAGTGAGTGAGTGTGTGTGAGTGAGTGTGCACCTGGTATTCATCACGTTATGGGGACCAAATGTCCCCACAAGTATAGTAATACCAGTAAATTTTGACCTTGTGGGGACATTTTTGAGGTCCCCATGAGGAAACAAGCTTATAAATCATACAGAATGAGTTTTTTTGAGAAGCGTGTGTGTGTGTGTGTGTGTGTGTGTTTACCCTCGCTGCCTCCTGGGCGGCTTGCAGAAGCACATTCAGGTCGTTGTTTTGCATGTTGAGTATGACCTTCTCACACACACACTCCTGAACCTGCACAAAATAAACTCAGAAATATGTGACTTGTTACATGATCACTTCTCAAACATATTAGATCATAGTCTGAAATGTATATTTAATGTATATGAGCCTCTTTCTTTCATTACCTGAGCTACCATAAGACGGACCAGCATGCTAAGCGCAGGGCTACTCATATCCAGACTGGGCGCATGAGAGAAATTCTCCTGCAGGTAGAGAAACGCACCTGCACACACACACACACACACACGTCATGTTTACAAGTTCGTTTATATAAGCAAAGAGCTTTAGATCTTCAGTTCAGCAGCTGTGATGCAGTGTACATGGGGGTCATGAATGCTTAAAATTAAACACAGACAGATTATTCAGACGTCTGCATTAGTTTATATCATATAGACGAGGCACAGGGGTCATTCTCAGGAAATGGTGTCATTTGTGTGCTGACCTTGTGACCTACTACTGATATAATAAACAGTAACTAACATTATTTGGTAGATTCAACTGTTTTGTTGTTTTCAGCCAATCTGAATGTCCTATTTCATCTGTGTTACATTTAAATGGATTATAATGGGAAAAAAATAACATTTGCTTTTACAGACATATAATTGTAAAAGTTAATGTTAATGCAATATTAATGTTTTATATATATTTTTTTTAAATATTAAAATATTTGTTTAAAATAAAATGAATGAATAAAAAATAAAATAAAATAAAATAAAAAATAAAATAAATGTTAAAATATATATTTACATTTAAATGGATTATAATGGGAAAAAAATAACATTTGCTTTTACGGACATATAATTGTAAAATTGTTAATGTTAATGCAATATTAATGTTTTATATATATTTTTTTAAAATATTAAAATATTTGTTTAAAATAAAATGAATGAATAAAAAATAAAATAAAATAAAAAATAAAATAAATGTTAAAATATATATTTTTAATTAAATAAAAAATATTTAATAAAAATGTATACTTTTATTCAGCAAAGGCTGACCAAAAGTAAAGTAATGTTGCTAATGATTTCTATTTCAAATAAATGCTGTTCTTTTGTACTTTCTATTCATCAAAGTAACCTGAAAAATCTCTGTTTCCACAAAAATATTTGGCAGCACAACTGTTTTCAACATTGAAGATCACAGCAATAAATTACATTTTAAGATATATTCACATAGATCAGCAACAGCTATTTTAAATTGTAATATTTCATAATTTATACTGTATTTTTGATCAAATAAATGCAGTCTTGGTGAGCAGAAGAGACGTTGTTCAAAAACATAACCCCAAACTTTGGTTTAATTAGAAAATAATAAAAAAAAATTTTTACAGAAGAAATAATGTTCTTGCTATAATGCACATAAATGTAAATAATGAGGTGTGGTGTGATAATATGTGACCCTGGAGCAGAAAAGCAGTCTTAAGTCGCTGGGGTATATTTGTAGCAATAGCCAACAATACATTGTATGGGTCAAAATTATTGATTTTTCTTTTATGCCAAAAATCATTAGGATATTAAGTAAAGATCATGTTCCATGAAGATATTTTGTAAATTTCCTACCGTAAATATATCAAAACTTAATTTTTGATTAGTAATATGCATTGCTAAGAACTTCATTTGAACAACTTTAAAGATGATTTTCTCAATATTTAGATTTTTTTGCTCCCTCAGATTCCACATTTTCAAATAGTTGTATCTCGGCCAAATATTGTCCTATCCTCAATTTAAAAAAATTGACTGGTTTTGTGGTCCAGGGTCACATATTTGTAGTTAAAGGCCATAATTATACATTTTTGTTGAGCCGAAACATGTTTGAAAGAGCGTCAAATGTTTTGTTGTTAATACTAATAGAGTGATACTATCAGAATTTACTGACATTTTTTTAAATGATAAGCATATGAATATAGCTGTAACATACTGTGACAGCGTTTCCTGTGAATGACCCAGAAAAACAGACAGATCCAGAAGATTCAGTACCTGCTGCTCTCTGGAAAGCATCGATAGCGCTCTGAATGCCAGTCAGTGTCGAGCGATCTTGTCTGGCTCCGATTTGAGTATAAAGTGCTCCGATGTTGAACAAAACGCTCCCTTTCTCGAACGCCAGCGCTCTCTGGACTGAAGGCACGCCGGTCAGTGAGTCGTACCTGTGATGAGAGACGTGATCAGAAGCTCTGTCTCTGACTAGGCCTGTCGCAATAATCAAAATATCGACTTATCGTGTATGTACATGACCTCAATCATTTTTGGTGACGCAATATATCGGCCATTATATTTACTTAAAAATTAATGTCACCATGTTTTGTACATTCCACTTGCACCTGTGTCTTTTGCAGCTTCTCGTACATAACGTGGTGTAGTCATGAGCTGCTAGTTCAAATTTTAAAAATGCTTCTACAAACAAAGTTTCATCTGCAGATATGATCTTGTTTAGGGATCTGTGTCTTTGTGCATACAGACATCTGCTGCTGAGTAGTGATTGTGTGTTTCAACAATAGTGTGCACCCTTCATTTACAGAGAAAAGAAGGTCAGGGAAAAATCTGTAGATGGAAAAATCTCCATACAAGTTCTTTGTGTATTTTTCTTTTTTTCTACTTGTTACTTTGCACTTTTTGTTTGAAAATGTTTATTTACTATTTATTGTGGCATAAAATGGTCTATAAAATGACAATAATATCGCTTATCGCAATTATTTCTGGGGCAATATATCGCACAACAAAAAGTTGTTATCGTGACAGGCCTATCTCTGACCTCTGATCATTCATGTGTTTGTGTGCAGCAGTGTGTCTCACCAGTGAAAGTGAATTCCCAGACTTCTGTGCAGTGAAAAGAAGCGCTGATCCAGGAAATAGAGCTGGTTATAATATTCCTTCAGCAGCTCCTGTCCCGCCTCGTTCCTGCTGGGAGTCCGCATGGCCTACAGAGACAGGTGAGGACTGAAGAAATCATTTTCAGCTCAAAAATAACGGTTTGACTTGTGTTTCTCGTAACACAGCCCTGCATCTTGACTAAAAATTCTGCTGATTTGCAAAAAAGGCCTAATATTATCTAATTTGGTGACGCTGAGTTCAAAAATATAAATAAAACTTTTCAATTTTTCCACAAAATAAGAAAGAACATTCTTCAAATAATATATACTACTGGTCAAAAGTTTGGGATCAGAACGATTTGTAATGTTTTTTACAGGTGTTTCTTCTGCTCATCAAGGCTGCATTTATTTGATCAAAAATACAGTAAAAAATGTAATATTGTGAAATATTATTACGATGTAAAATAACGTTTTTCTATTTTAATATACATTAAAATGTAACTAGTGTATATACTGTATGTATCACTTTTAATGCACTTATCAAAATAGCAAAAGCAGTCAAAGGTCAACATTTTTAAAGACAAACAGATATATTCAAAATGTATCATTTAACTTGAAATCTGCAAAGGAATGGAATTCATGCATAATGTCTTCAGAATCATTCATACATATGAAAATAGGCTGAGAATTAAACGAATAGCTAGTTGTAATCTGGCTCAGATTCAGACTGATTAAGGGATAATACAAGACTTCTTCACCTTACACATGGTTGTCAAAAGCAAAAATGCTATGAAATGCATAATATCTTTTGAGAAGGTGAGCAAAACAGCAACAATTTTTGGAATCAGCACCCAAAATTAGTAAGAAACAAGTATTGGATTTCATTCAGCAAATATGATGTAGGGCAGTGTAGTCACTTATTTGTTTTTTAGAATGAGATGAAATTAAAATGTACTGTAGTTACCTTCTTAAAGATACACTATGTAAGTATCGGCCCTCTAGCAGTAAATGTAAACTAGCACTGATGATTCCCTCATGATTGTCAGTTTGAACGATCGATAGTTGATTTTTCTTGTTTGTTGTAACAACAGCTTCAAGCTACTTGCAGTCAGAGCTACTTTAGCCAAATGCACTTTGATAAACCTACATAAAAGAGTGAGGACATGGTTTGGAAAATGGATGTGTAGCTTTAATACATGTTTCTGGTCTTATTTTTAATTATTCTTTAGTGCATGTTTAAGAAGTAATTTGTGTTGCGATCAGCATTGCATGTTGACTTGAACTGACCTGTCTTAGTTCCATAAAATCCCGGATCTCATTCAGGTACAGAGATGCATCCTCACTGTAATGTTCACTGATGAAATCCTGATGAAACGGCAGAGAAAAAATGTTTCTAGACAGATTTAAACACTGAATGAGTTGACATGTATTCTGCGTTGATCTCACCTGAAGAGGGACTGTCATGTCAATCTCTTTAGTCTCTTTCAACCCCAGTGGAATCATGGGAACACTGACTGTCTCACTGTGACAAAAAGATGATCCATTAGTGAATGTTTGAATTATATATTTTACATACTGCACGTAAAGAAATAAACTACACAATCCATGTTCTGCACACTTAAAACTTGATGACTGTTGATTATTCTAGAATTGCATAATCCAAGATGTAGATGAGTTTGTTTCTTCATCAGATCTGGAGAAATGTAGCATTGCATCAGTGTCTCAGCAATGGATGCTCTGCAGTGAATGGGTGCCGTCAGAATGAGAGTCCAAACAGCTGATAAAAACATCACAATAATCCACAAGTAATCCACACCACTCCAGTCCATCAGTTAATGTCTTGTGAAGCCAAAATGTTCAACAAATTAAAATTTTTGGGTGAACTATTTCTTTAAACAAAACTACAAATGTGTTTTGCATGCTTCAAACCTGTTGTACTGATTTGAGAAATGCTAATCTGATGGCGCTTTTCCACTGCGTGGTACGGCACGGCTTGGCTCGGTTCGGTTTGCGTTTCCACTGCAGTTTAGTATCGCTTTAGAGTGGGCGGGATTATTCACATGTTGCCGCCTCTACTGCCGCGACTCCTGAAAAACTTTTTCATTCCGCGTCGCCCCATCAAGCTCTCGCTGGATCCGCTCCTCTGCTATCAACGAGAGGAATGTCTGTACTTCCTCAACAGACCACGAAAAAAAACCACTTTTTGGTTGTTAAAAAAAGGTGCGCTCGTTCAAAACAGTTGCGGGCGATCCTTTGCTGGCTGTGCTGATTTAAATGAATGAATGATGCATTTTTATATAGTGCTTTATTGTGTATTTTTGTACACCCAAAGCGCTTTACAATCATGTGGGGGGGTCTCTCCTCAACCACCACCAGTGTGCAGCATCCACTTGGATGATGCGACGGCAGCCACAGGACAACGGCGCCAGTGCGCTCACCACACACCAGCTACAGGTGGAGAGGAG